GTGTGTATCTGTGTGTCTGTCTGTTGGGGGATCGGTTAGGTCAGGCAGCTGGCCGATTGTCTCTGTCTGTCTGTCTGTCTGTCTGTCTCTCTCTCTGTGTGTGTGTGTGTGTGTGTGTGTGTGTGTGTGTGTGTGTGTGTATCTGTGTGTATCTGTGTGTATCTGTGTGTCTGTCTGTTGGGGGATCGGTTAGGTCAGGCAGCTGGCCGATGTTAGGTCGGGCAGCTGGCCGGTTAGTCTGTCGGTTGGGCGGGTGGTTGGTCTGATGTTAGGTCGGGCAGCTGACCGGCTTGCCTGTTGATTGGCTATTCCGTTGGACCCTGTTGTGATTGAACAATTTTATCTGGATGTTCTTGATGCAGGTTTTGCGCATGTTGTTACGGGAGATGGAGTACAGGTTGAACGTGTTTCGAAGGTGATCTTGGCTTGAATGAATGAATGAATGAATGAACTAATGAATGAATGAATGAATGAACGAATTAATGAATGAATGAATGAACGAATGAATGAATGAATGAATTTCACTGCCTTTCTGGTTTCAATTCGTGCATGTAAGAGACCAAGAGTGCAGGTTGGCTTGAATGACTGAATGAATTTCACTGCCTTTCTGGTTTCAATTCGTGCATTTAAGAGACCAAGAGTGCAGGTTGAATACCAACAAGCGTAGCTCAATAGGTACACCCATGAACTGCCAAAATACAGACCAATGTTTGAATCCAGATGATGGAAGTCGTTGACTGATAAAATCGAAGAAGACGAAAGAAAAAAGAAAAGAAAAGAAAAGAAAAGAAAAGAAAAGAAAAGAAAAGAAAAGAAAGAAAAGAGTACAGGTTGAATGTGTCTCGAAGGCGATGACAGATGCATGAATTTCACTCAGTTGGTATTCCCTGCTTCTTTTTCATGTGTGTAAGAGACCAAGAGTACAGCTCGACGGGCCTTAGCCCAGTTTTTTTTTTTTTTTTTTTTTAATAATTTGGACCATTTCTCGATTTATGCGTGTCATCCTTGCGCAGGGGCCATGCTAATCTTCTCTTTCTCTGTATCGTTCCAATTTTAACGGATGACCCGAAGGACTGGGCCTTAGCTCAGTTGGTACACCCATGAACTGTTTTTGAAATATGAATCAGACCCAAGTTCGAATCCAGATGCAATCAGATGAATAGAACTACTAAGTACTTCTGAATTGCCTGGGCCCGCTCGGTCAGAGGATATATAATATATATATCTCAAGGTGGTCGCCGTTTTTTAAAAGGAAAGACTTCCAACAAGAGAGTACTGGTTGTTCTGTACCGCCTGCCCAGCTGGGTGGCTGAATCGGTGCACACATGTAAATCTGCTGATCAGCAGTTCAAATCCTGCTGGATATAACAAGGCTACCGTCTTCACCCGAATAGAACGCCCGGTCATTATAGGTGTATCTGGACTGAAAATACGGCTGTAATGACCGGGTGTTCTATTCGGGTGAAGACGGTAGCTGGACAGTGTCCGACCAAGACTTCTCACTGTTCTCACGTAGCTTGTGCAAGGCTTGTCTAATTTCGCAGAAACATGTTATCTTGTCTAATTCTCAATACAGTTCACCACCCCCCTCCGCCGCCCTCCAGCCCCCCTCCGCCGCCTCTCTCCCCCCCTCCCCCAACAAAAGCAGCCCGCTACCTTCTTCCCCCGAATACAACGTACAGTCATTATAGCTGTATCTAGACTGAAAGATGCCTCAAATACAGCTATAATGACCGTACGTTGTATTCGGGGGAAGAAGGTAGTCTTGAATTATGTAAGCTCCCAGCCTGTCAAGCAAGCTGGCGAGTTGTGTCAGAACTGACAAAAACACGTGCTATCGTCTTCACCCGAATAGAATGCCTGGTCATTTTTTATCTGTATTTAGGGCGACTTTCTGTCCAAGTGCATCAATAATGACTAGGCGTCCTATTTGGTGAGCTCCGAATGCAAAACTCACAAGGAGATAAAATGCTGTTCAAGTGCAACTCGAATGAAAGAAGATTAGAAGAAGAATGAGACGGGAAGAAGAAGAATGAAGAAGAAGAAGAAGAAGAAGAAGAAGAAGAAGAAGAAGAAGAAGAAGAAGAAGAGGAGGAGGAGGAGGAGGAGGAGGAGGAGGAGGAGGAGGAGGAGGTGGTTGAAGAAGCTTGAGAGGAAAGGTAGAGGGAAGGCAAGCTGACAGTCAATCTTCCAGGTGGGAGGGAGGAGCTATCAGTGCCCCAGATGGGAGGAAGCGTGAAGGTGGTGTTGTTGTATATCTGACTCGCCTGGGGCCGGTCAGGTCAATGATGATATCTCGAGGCCGTAGCCATTTGGAAAAAAAAGAAAAAAAGAAAGGCAGTGGTGGTTTAAAAGGGAAAAAAAAGGATGGAAATGTCTCACGAAGTGCAGGAATCTCAGACAGTGATTTGTGCGGGTCATTGCAACATATCCCAACCAGGAGTGCATCGTGCGACGATCTTCACCCCAATAGGAGGCGTGGTTAGTACGCCTGTATTTGGGGCGACTTTCAGTCCAGATGCAGCTACGATGACTGGGCGTCATTCTATACGTCGTCCTTTTTTTTTTTTTTTTTTTTGAGAAAAAAACAGTAGTAGTTAATGTCCTTCGGCTGGACATCCGTTAAAATTGGAACAATACAGAGACTGAAGATTAGCGTGGCCCCTGCGCAAGGATGACACGCATTAATCGAGAAACGCTCCCCCCCCCACCCCTCCCAAAAAAAAAAAAAAAAAAAAAAAAAACACTTGTAGCCAGGGCTGGGCCGGCAACCGGCCGGTTCAGCTTGCCCGGTTGAACCGGAGCCGGACCAGCCCCGGGGGGGTGAACCGGGAAACCGGTTTTCAAAAAATAAAGCCTAATTCTCTCTCTTTTTTTTTTTTTTTTTTTTTTTTGGCGGATTCTGACTGCGCTCTTCAAGAGCTGTCAAAATCCGTAATAAAATTTTTAAGGTCCAATTTTCTTGGGGGGGTGCCCCAGGGGTAGGTGGGGATATTATTGGGATATTCACGGAGGTGTCACTTTCAGGGGGAGGGGTTGAGTAAGCAATATTACTTATCCGACCCCCTGTGGCCCACGAACTTCAATTCAGTAGCAGAAGGCACTCTGGACTATGCCAACGGCCGTCGGAGTCCTGCAGCCTGAATGAGATGCAATAGAAATGGATCTTTGCCAAAACTCATACCTTTTCCAAAGTTGCAGAGTATAGCTCGACGGCCGAAAAGTTATGGGTGCAGGTTTCAGCTCGTGGAGGCAGAGCGTTTTCTGTTTGTCTTTTTTGTTTTAAATACAGAGCGTTTAAATATAGCTTAGGTCCATTCTTGGGCTTGCACCTCAGACAGAGCCGAAACCCAAACCCATAACTCTTTCCCCAGAGCTTAGTGATGTTGCAGAAGCATATAACCTCAGGAGAGCCACTGCTCTTCCATAGTAATTCCTTCGTGGCTGAGGATGGACGAGTATGTCATGCCAATGATAACTGGTCCGTGGTCTGTCGGACAACACTATGCCAAATCAAAATGTGGGGCCTGGTGGCCCCCCAATTTTTGAGAAAACGCGCACGGCGGTCGTTTGCCGCTGATCTGCAAAGATAAGCGGCGGAGATTCTCCGCTCGTTGTTTCCTAGAAGTGGGGCCCAAAAAGCCCCATTTTTTTTTTTTTGGAGCCCGCGGCCTCGTGGGGGCTGGGCAGTCGTGGGGATACCTGTCACTGCCCGGTACCCCCCGTCCAGCCTAATGCGCTGGATTCAACCGGGGGTCTGCCGGGCCGGTCGACCGGCCGGTCTRACCGGCAGGCTCCCGGGTGGGGGAGGGGCCCCCGGTCCAACCGGGGACCAGCCCTGGTTGTAGTTAACGATGTCACCGTGAGATTCGTGCGATGATGATCTCAACGACAGCACGACGAAAACCGCCATAGCACAATTGCAGACGCTAAGCTCATTGGCAAACCGCCGAAGCGAACCTCCAGGCGATATCCACATACGACCCCAGGTCGCGTCATCGTCCTCGCGGACGAAAGGACCTCAGTCAACATGTGCTACAAAGGTATACTGTTCTTTTTTTTTAATACGAAAAAAAAAAAAAAACTGAACTGCCCACTGGCCTACAGCTCATGCGGTGGCGCCATGAACTCTGTTGAAAAACAGACCCGAGTTTGAAACCAGATGGAACTAGACAAGTTACATTCTTTTCTTGATAAAATTAAAAAAAAAAACGAAAAATAAAAAACACATATGAGAGTTGCTGTGAGTCTGTGACCTGATTGGGCCTGACGTCTCAGGCTGGGAAGATCAGGGTCAGCGATAATTTTAGGTTCGATAAAACAAAATAAAATAAAATAAAATAGGGTCACGCCAAATTGCTGGGTTAAAGGAGCATTACATCCGAGGCTCTTTTTGTCGTGGCCGATTTGCATTGCACGCCAAGCTTTGTTTTAACTGCCAGCTGCACACTTTTTTTTGTCTTCGCTTTTTTTTTGAATTTCTCCCTGACACCGCTAGCCATTATGCACGGGTACCCCTGAGCCCCTAAAATTTTTGGGTTGACTTGATTGAGATTCTCAAGTTTGCCTGGGCGGTGTACTGGCTGGCGGTTTAAAGCACCAGTACACCACACATCGGCACACAGGTGTCACCATGAAACCCGCACCACTTCGGAGGCCGCTCTTTTTTTTTTTTTTTCCCAACTGCGCCCCAAGCCGTGCGGCGCCTCCGAGTTTTGCTTGTGGCGACAAAAACTTTCTGCAAGGCTATGGCTGTGTACTAGCGGTTTAAACCCTCCTCCGTTTGAAAGTTTTCTGAGCTCCTACGTCCCTGACAATTTTTTAACCTCTCTGGGAGAGAGAGAGAGAGAGAGAGAGAGAGAGAGAGAGAGAGAGAGAGAGAGAGAGAGAGAGAGAGAGAGAGAGAGAGAGAGGTTTTTCTTGACCGCTTTCTCGAACCCCTCTTGACGCTGGACCTGTTATCTGGCAGGTGCTGGTCCCCACCAATAGAAAGGAACCATCTTGAGGGGGGGGCTACAGGGGGGATGCTCATATCACCTCCAGTTGACGCCCCGGCAGATGTTTAGGAAACAAAAAAAAAGGACAAAAGAACCTCTTGACTGCCGTCTGCTGAGCTCTTCCCTCTCGTCTTAATCTCCCTCTTCTGTCTCTAGTACTCTCTTCCCAAAAAAAACAAAAACAAAGAGCCTCCTCCTCCTCCTTCCCCTCCTGACCTTGCTCTGCACAAATTTTTTGATTCCTCGCCCTCTCTTGCTCTGCTAACCTCCCCCCCCCCTCCTCTGTCAATCCGTCTTAGGGCCTCGCCACACCACTCTCAGAATGTGAAAAAGTCAAAAATGTGGCTCGTGCATCTGGCCATGTTCTAGCAGGAAGTTCATTCTCATTTCGCACATTTCGAGAGTGGTGTGGCGATGCCCTTAATCTGATGTCAAAACCTCTTCCCTTGCCTCTCCCAATCACCCCCAACTGTCCAGATGTCCCTTGGCTTCTGTAGAATATGATCTGAATATCCCTCCCTCCCTCCCTTTTTTTTTTTTTTTTTTAATATAAAAAGACCCTTCAATATATTGCTTCTGGCTTTGGGGGTATCCCTCTGTATTTTCTTTTTGCTTCGAAAAAAAAACTGGCCATTATC